GCGGAGGCCTGGCCTGCCCCTTGTTCCCCACAGCACCCTCCGGGACATACCGGGCCGAGCCGTCCTGCGACGGCCCTCCGATACCCGGTCCGGAAGAGCATCTATACCCAGGGAAAAACGAACTCCGCGGGCACCGCGTCCAGAGAAAGCCCCGCAGCGGCGGATCACGTTGGACCTCTCCTTCGCACACGGCCCTCTTCCGGGTCCGCGAGGTCGGCCTTCCTCGCCCATAGCAAAGAAGGCTTGTCCCATCTCTTGCGGCGACAGGTGCAGCTCGGATCTCCTCTTTAGATGTTTTAGCACTTAGGTCACCTCGGATGAATGAGAGGAAGGTGATGTCTTTAGGATCATAAGAAAAGAAAGGGCATTCTTTCACCCAAGAGCTGTTTGCTTTTTATCCTTAACAGGCTGCTTAGAGATGCATTGCTTTTCCCAACCCTGTTACTCCTTCATTTTCATACTTTCTCTGAAAAGCCATCTTCATGCTGGTTCTCTTAAAAAGGCAACAGTTTTGCTTACAGCAACAGTAAGCATTATGTGTGCTCAGTAGCGATCTGTGTAATACGTTTTCATTTAAAATCATCTCTGCGCCACCCAGAAGTAGAAGCAAATTATGCGGTGCCCTGAAAGAGGGCAAAAATCCCAGGACCTCAGGAGGTGACAAGAAAGTGTGTTTTCATCTTCCAGTGGGCAGAAGTGTTCCAGCTGCAAAGCTGTGTGTGCCTCTGGCCAACAGCTGAATACGGGTGACCAGATGTTGAGTTTAGGGCTCACTCCTCTTCAAACTAGATACATTCTTCTGAGATCCAGCAGCAGCCCCACCCTTTTAGACTCCCTGCTCCTTTTCACCTTTGTTTCTTGCTCTTGTCTTTCGCATTTTTTATCACTTAACCCCATGGGAAGCAACTTGTCCTATGTATGAATACTTTGAGAGATGAAGAACCAAAAGAGAGACAGGTGCCATGTGACCTTCTGTAGCGCCCTGCGTGTTGCATAGGAACCTTTTATTTTATTATTCCTAGTCTGTGTTCTTACACTCCTTCCTAAGTGTGGTGTTAGTAACCTTCCAGGTCTTCTCTCCAATCCCAAGGCACTGTCTTTAGAAGTCAGAGGCAGGGTGAGGGCAGCTTTCTGATTTTGAAGTGAGATTGAGCCAGAACTCAAGTTAGAACTTCCTCCCCGAAACTCAGTTTAGCAGACATCAAGGGACAAAGGGATACAACTCCAATGTGCCCTGGAGATGACAATGGGTCAGGAGTGATGGAGGAGGAGATGGGATTTGGTCTGTGCAAGAGAAAAAATGAGAAGATTTTGAGAACTGTGCAAGACCTCATAATGAACCTAATCCAAGATGTGTCCCAAGCTGCTGAGCTCCTACACTTACTTCCTCCAGTATCATTTGGTGTGTACTGCCATAACACAGTACCACAAAACTAGGTGCCTGAAACGACAGAAATTTATTTTCTCACAGTTCTGGAGTCTAGAAGTCCAAGATCAAGGTGTCAGTAGGTTTCTTTTCCTCAGACTTCTCTCTGTGGGTCACAGATAGCCACCTTTTCATTATATCTTCACAAAAGCATCCTCTGTGTTGTTCATGTCCCATTTTCTTATGAGGGCAGCAGTAATAGTGGATAAAGGACTCATCCATATGATTCAGTTTATTTTGTGGTTAAATAAATTAGGATTGGTCACAAGAATTTCAGTCCAGTTATATGCAATGGGAAGAGAAGGGATTCACATATTTCACTTTTTTGTTTGTTTACTTGTGTTTTTTGTTTTTTGAGACAGGGTCTCACTATGTAGTTGAGACTGACCTAGAACTCACTGTGTAGCCCAGGCTGGTCTCAAACTCACAGAGATCCTCCTGCCTCAGCCTCCCACATGCTGGGATTACAGGCATGCAGCATGCAATAGAACTCACTGTGTAGCCCAGGCTGGTCTCAAACTCACAGAGATCCTCCTGCCTCAGCCTCCCACATGCTGGGATTACAGGCATGCATCACCACACCCAGTTGTTCTTTATAGTGTAATTTTCCCTTGGAAGTTTATTTTTAACAAAAAGGACTTGTATTCTTATAACTTTCAACTTTGTTGCCATGTTTAGGAAAATAACTTCACCATCTGTCTTGATAATTTCTTGCTTTGGAGATGCCCTTGAAATTCAATTTCTCTACATTTCTAAAATACTGTAATGTACTTGTAGGATTTATCTGCCAATTAATAATTGTCCTTTTCTTTACATGTTGTGTATTTCATTTGTTTGTTTCTTTGTTTGTTTTGGTACCAGTTTGGTATCAAACTCATGACTTTGCATTTGTGAGGCAGATGTGGTGGCACTGAGCTAAATCCCCAGCCCTTGAGTGAACATTTTAATGACTTCTACATATTATTCAACAAATTATTTCTCCCTTTTTGGAGACTCAAGATACATCTTTTTCATACATAAATAGCCTTTTTTATTTAAAAAAAGTAGTTTTAGATTTATAGAAAAATTGAGCAGACAGTTTCTACATATATTCTTTCCTCCTAATGTGCATGGTTTAAATTAGGGAACTCTGTGTATAAAGTTCTCCAGATTTCCCACCATAACATAATATCTACTCTTGTGTTAGCACACAGAATAGTGCTGGGAATAGAATAGATGATGGAATATATGTGTTCAAAGTGAGGGAGAATAGTTTGGGTATTTTGAGGGAGATGAGTGGCAATGTGCTATTACTGCAATATTTTTTAAATTTAAATATTTGCTGTATTTTTCAGTCACTACTCATTGATCAACTATTCACAGTGATTTCTGTCAAATAAAAGCATTACAGTAGGCTGGGGATTTAGCTCAGTGGTTCCTCTGCCTGCCTTGCAAGTGCAAGGACTTGAGATCGATCCCTGGTACCAAAAAAACCCAAAAAATATATCACAGTGTTTTCTCATCTATCTTATGCGTGAGATCTGGTAACATGCAACGTCTGGCTTTTCCCCAAAGTCAAAATAACTGAAAAAGGTAATGGTTTAGAATCATTTCAGGACATTGAGACAGACCAAACAGCGCAACTAGAGATTCACAAAGAGCATTTCCAGAACTACTTTAGAAAATATTAAGAAGGACGGAATAAGTGAATTTGAAGCAAGGAAGGAGTATTTTGAGGGGAATAAATGGCAATGTCTTTTACTGTAATAAAATTTTACTGTGCATCTTTATCACATCTCACTGTTTATATCTTTCTGCAGCTTGCTTTTTTTGTTCAGCATTGAGATTTATCCAGTTATTGTATGTAGCTGTAACCTATTTCAGCTGCTGAACAATATTCTTTTGTATAGATACTACCAAAATGTCCTATTGAAAGGCATTTGGATGGTTTGCAGGTTCTTTATAGCTTTGTTTGTTTGTTTTTGGTTCTGTGAGACAGGGTCTCATGTACCCCAGGCTGGTTTGAAACCACCCTGGTAATTCTCCTGCCTCAGCCTCCCAGGTGCTGGGATTATAGGTGCACGCCACCATGTCTGTGAAATTTGATTTTGTGTTAAATTTGTCCATCTTTTCCTTTATGGTTTACACTTTTTGTGTCTTGTTAAAGAACTTTTCCAGGTGCCGTGTGGGGGAGGCAGAAGCAACCGTGGGCTGGTGAGCCTCCAGGCATTACTGCCATCATGCCGAAAAGAAAGGCAAAAGGAGATGGGAAAGGGGATAAAGCAAAGGTGAAGGATGAGCCGCAGAGGAGATCGGCGAGGTTGTCCGCTAAACCTGCTACTCCTAAACTAGAGCCGAAGACTAAGAAGGGCCCGGCGAAGGAGGAGAAGCAGCGCCGAGGAAGGAAGCGGAAAGCGGAAGGAGGCAAAGGTGGGCCCGGCCCTGCCAAGAACCAGGAGGGCTCCGCGGTGGAGTCACAGGAGGCAGAAGGCGCTGGGGAAACCAAGTGAAGGGCCCATTTTCCACAGCCGTGTCCTTCAAGTGACTCAACAGCTAGAGATAATACTATTTTTAATCAAGTTTTACAAAAATGTAGAATTTTGATGTTTTTTAAGTTGTTAGTACACAGCATCCTTTGTCTTTTGTGGAAAGGGGAAATACCACTACTAGGTTGTGTCTGACAAGCTGAATTGAAGTGGGGGAGCTAGGATTTTCTATCCTGGATTTTGAAGATTCTTCTTGGCTCCTAGAAAATTCTCTGTCACTCGCTGACATGAGCCGATGGCACAGAAGCCTTAGAGCGCAGGAATTCGAGTCTCCTCCTTCCTGCTGCCCTTGGCACAGGCGTGACTGCAGTAACCAGGAGACTAGGTGTGGCCTTGGCACCCCTCAGATCACCGTGTCAGGTCTCAGTACTCCGGCTTCCTGGTGATGACCTTGAAGTGGTGTCATTCTTCGGGCCAAGATTTCTGTACTTTGCCTGTTGAAAATCCTGCAGGTTTTAGCTCATTTCCTTTCATGGCAAAGTTGGCTCTGAGAACTCCTTTGTGCTGCTTGTGACACGTCCACCCCCTGTGTGAAGTTTTCTTGTTCAAAGCTGTAGCAGGCTTTGTTGGCTTTTACAGTGACTTTGGGGGAGGGGAGTTTGGAACTTGTAAAGTGCTATAGATGACTGACTGCCCATGTCTTCCTGCAAGGAACTGTTTGTGAAAAGTACCTTCTCAAGCTGGATACAAGTTGGCTTGAAGGGGAGATCATTCCTTACCCAAAGCCACAAGATATTCTTTACTACCCTGAACTGGTTTTTGTGAAAAGTATAAGATAGAAATTAAATTTAGTATTTTTCCTGTCTGGATAAGTAGTAGTCCCAGTGCCATTTATGGAGAAGTTTGTCTTTTGCCCATTGATCCCTAACACTAGATCTTTCCTAAGTTCAGTGTTTGTACAGCTGTGGGTCTGTTGATGTCTTCTATCAATTGTCAAACCTTGTGGCAGTACAATACAATCCTAATTACTACAACATTAGAAAATGATCTTAATAAAAACCAAGATGCCTTTACATTCGATCGTGACACTGACCAACCCTGCCTGTAATATCACTTCCAAATTTGTCTTTCTGGGGACTGTCTTGGCTTTTTACTCATTTGCTCTCCCAGAAAACATCCGGCAAGTTCTAAAATAAAATACGTTGCAATTTTGATTGTATTTGTGTTGAATTGATAGATTAATTTACCATGTTACCTTTATAATGTTGGGTCTTCCAGTCCATGAACATAGTAGTACTTCATTTATTTAGGCCTTTTAAACACCTTTCAGTAGTTTTATAACTTTCTCCAGAAGTGTCTTTTGTTAATATGTCCTACAGAATCTATACTATTTAATGTTGTTATTCCATGTGGCACATTTTTGGTTATTACATTTTCTGTTGATTTCAATGTTTATATCCAGCAACCTTGCTAAACTCATTAATTCTCCTGTATATTCTTTCTGAGTTTCTACAAATAACCATATGTCCTGCATATACAATTTTTTTTCTCAGACCTCATGCTGTCACACTCTCTACCTCCCCCGCCCCCCACCTCTCTCTCTTTCTCTCATTTTTTTAGACAGGGTCTCACTATCCTTGCATTCATTATGTAGCCTCAAATTTATGATTCTTCTGCGTAAGACTCCTTGTGGCACCTTGCCTGCTTTCATTCCTTTATAGTTCAGGTGGTAGGAATACAGCAGTAAACAACTGTACTTGCTCCCTTTAGTTTTATGTTATAGATTGGGGAAAGTAGAGAAAATGCACGTATTTATGCAGCAAGAGGACTTTAGTAGTAGTGTAGGTAGGTGCTATTTAGTGTGTTTAGGGGAAGTCTTTGATGAGATGATATTTGAGCAGAGCCCTTCGTGAAATAAAAGAGGCTGAGCATGGTGTCCCATGCTGTAATCACCATGAGTTCCAGTCCAGCCTGGACTACATAAGGAGATCCTGTCTAAAAAAAAAAATAGAGGCATCAGCCAGGCGTGGTGGCGCATGCCTGTAATCCCAGCACTTGGGCGGCTGAGGCAGGAGGATCGCTGTGAGTTAGAGACCAGCCTGAGCTACATAGTGAGTTCCAGGTCAGTCTCAACTACATAGGGAGACCCTGTCTCAAACCCCCGCCCAAAAAATATAGAGGCAAGATGAGGGCAAAACTTTCCAGAAAGAGAGAATAATAAGTACAAAGACAGGTGAAAATGTGCATGCTGAGGCAGAAGTGGCTCAACTACCCAGTGCTCTGAGGCAGGAGGATTGCTGAAAGTTCAAGGTCAGCCTGGGCTACATAGTCCAAGGCCAGTCCGAACTAAACAGCAAGACCTTGTATCAATAAACAAACAAATAAATAAACATTTTTAAAATTGCTGAACAGAAGGGAGGGTGGTAAGAATAATGGTTGATCTGACTACAGTGAGCTGGGGCCCAGCAAGTGAAGAATCTTGGAGGCTGTAGTTTTTCTATGAAAGTAATGGGATGCCATTAGAATTTTGAGTAGAGAAATGAAGGGAGACCCCGTCTCAAACCCCCGCCCAAAAAATATAGAGGCAAGATGAGGGCAAAACTTTCCAGAAAGAGAGAATAATAAGTACAAAGACAGGTGAAAATGTGCATGCTGAGGCAGAAGTGGCTCAACTACCCAGTGCTCTGAGGCAGGAGGATTGCTGAAAGTTCAAGGTCAGCCTGGGCTACATAGTCCAAGGCCAGTCCGAACTAAACAGCAAGACCTTGTATCAATAAACAAACAAATAAATAAACATTTTTAAAATTGCTGAACAGAAGGGAGGGTGGTAAGAATAATGGTTGATCTGACTACAGTGAGCTGGGGCCCAGCAAGTGAAGAATCTTGGAGGCTGTAGTTTTTCTATGAAAGTAATGGGATGCCATTAGAATTTTGAGTAGAGAAATGACAAAAAAGTATGTTTCAATGTATGACTGCTGGCAAAAGTAGAAGGAAAAACACTGTCACAATAGTCCAGCAAAGCATATTGATTACTTGGACCTGGGAGGAAGCAGTGAAGAGGGAGAGAGGAGACGGGAGGGGGGATGTGAGTGCTGACAGGATGAACGCTCAGCCTCTCTGCTATGATCCACGTCCCTCCACCTCGTTTGTGTGTTGGAAACTTATTCCCTGACTCAGCAGTGTGGGGAGGTGGGGCTGAATGTGAGGGATTTAGGTTGGGGAGTAGTTTCATGCAGCTGTGAGTGGGGGTGCTGTGCAGGACTGAGTCACTTCCTTCCTCTTTTCCCTCTTGTGGAGAACAGCGCTTCTCCCCCTGCAGCAAAGGAGCAGAGACCAGAACCTCACCAGACGGCAAATCTGCTGGAGCCTTGATGTCAGACTTCTCAGCCTCTAGGCCTTTGAAAAATAAACTTCTGCTCCTTATACATTACCAGGTCTTCTGATATTCTGTCATAGCAGCACAAAATGGACTGAGGCGTCCTCTGAGCCAGTTTCCTCAGTAGTAAAGCAAGAAAACATCTTTGTAACATTTCCTATGGAATTAAAGATACTGTAAGAAAATAATTGGTATTACAATTTTCTAGGTTAGCATCTTCTTTTTTGGTTTTGTTTTTGAGACAGGGTCTTGCTTTGTTGTTCAGGATGACCTTGAACTTGCAGTGATCTGCCTCAGCTTCCCAAGTGCTGGGATTACAGGCATGCAACACCACGCCCAGCTAAATTATCGTCTTGATGCATAAGAATCCATTGGAAATTTGAAAAAATATTTCATATTTACCAGAACTTAATCACTACTGGATAGTTGAAGGGGGAAAAAAATAAAAAGATTTGATGAGCCTGCAAAACTGAGGGCCAGGCCGCTCCACATGAGGCCTTTACCAAAACCAGGAGTTTATATGCTTAAACTAGAATTTTATACCTCCTAACAGTATTTCCCTTTACAATAATGTTGGAAATTTCTTCTTTATCATCCTTGTTTGTTATGGCTTGTGTCTAGATGTCTCCCACGGCCTCATGCAGTCACAGGTGGGGCTTTTCAGAGGCGGCTGGTTGTCGAGTAGACATGGCTGCTAAGGGCTGGGTTGGTCAGCCCGGACCCGATTGGAACAGATAGGCTGCCAGGCCTGGGAAGCTGGGTGCCAGCTACAGCAAGGTGACCGGGAGTCGGAAGCCTTGCAGTCTGTGGGCCTGGGTGCTCCAGTGGCAACTCAAGGGCATTTGTAGATTGTTTTATGAGCCAGGATGGAAGCTATTGGGGAATTCTGAGAGGACTGAAAAGTGCCTTTACAAGTAGCAGGTGCACTACAGTTGAGAAAAGAAATACAGTGACACAAGGCCAGTGCCTCAGACTGAAAGGTCAGAAATGTGATTATCAAAAGCAGGATCACTCCTGCAGACTCGGGGCAAACATACACATTCTCACAGAAGTCATGAAGTACAATGCAAACTTGATTTTTATGAGAGAAATACAAGTGTCCCATGGGCCTGTAAAGTATGCAAAGGCCACTCTATGATTTCCTAGATCATTGAAGACTTCCCCACTTCAGGAATATTTCTTTTGTCAATATATTTAGATTTTCATTGACATGTAGTACTTGTATGTATTAATGGAGTACAACGTGACATTTTAGTACAACTATGTGTCATGATTAGATCAGGATAATTGACCTCTCTCACCTCAGACATTTTGTTATTGGTAGTTCCTCTAGTAACAGCTTGCCTTAATTTACATTTAATTATGTATTCCAGGTCCTTCTCATCTTGAGCAAAGATTTGAATGAGACAAACCAAAAACGGTGCCAAAGTTGATTTGAAAAATAAAGGGTGGGGGAGTAACTGGCTCTGTAGAGTGAATTTAGGATGAACAAAAGGGAGGAGAAGATAAAAAGCAAAACATGAAAGTATTCCCTGGGTCTGGGAGACACAGGTCGGGATACCATGAAAGGGACACGATGGCATTGGCAGGTTCCTCCTGGCATCAGAGCTCAGCCTACTTGTTTACTCAGTGAGAGGTAGGTGCTAAAACAGTGCTGTCCATACACTCCAGCCTGTATTCAGGAAGGGAAATTAATGTGTGAAGAGTAGCAAAGTAAGAAGAAAGGGAAGCTTCAGGGAGGAGGACAGGGTTTTAAGGGTTGTTCTGCCTCTGTGTATTTGCCAAACATGTCTAGGCCGAGTGTGTGCAAGGCCACCAGGTGTGCTCCCCAGAGGGGAGGGATCTAGCTTCAAGTGAAGAAAAAGAGCCCCCGTGTGAAGAAGGACCAGGAAAAAGGCAAAAGTGAGATTCAGGAAACTACATGGTTTCTAAACGATCCATCCTTGGAAGGAAAGAGTCAAAGGAGACTCCATACTAAGGATTTATTTTTATTTTTATTTTAGGACTTAGTTTTAAACTGGGTGTAGTGGCACATACTTGTAATACCAGCACTTGGGAAGCTGAAGCAGGATTGCTTCCCCTTCAAGCCATCCTGTGCTCCATAGTGAGTTCAAGACCAGCCTGAACTGTATTAGCAAGACTGTCTGAAGAACACAAAACAAAACAGATTTAGTTCTAAACTTGACTTTGATGGGAAGAACTCTTAGAAGAGGTCTGGAGACGACAGATTAAAGTCACATACAGGAGACAAGAGAAGTAAATGGGATGTGGGAAACAGCAGCAAAGCCTATTCAGCAAAGCATTGTTTCCCTTGAAAAAGATTTCAGGTGTTATCCTATTTGTTTTGAAAGTTTTTGGCCTGGGGAAAAAGCTGATGAGATTTGAATTTCACAAAAACCTCTGTGTAGCCAGCCCTTGAGTGGTTGAATTCAGTGGTTACCCTGGATGTGGAAGTTTCCTGACAATAAAATACGCTATTTTATTCAGGCCTAAAAACCAGCACTATCTAGGATGAAGTGGAACAGCTGTCCATTTTGTTAAGCAAAACAAAATGAAGCAAAAAGTAGTTTAAGACACTCGTTTAGTTCCCACGAGAGGTGGCAAAAGTCTCTGAGCTGTAGGACGGGCTTAGAAAGGAAAGATTTTCACACAATTTCCTTCATCTGTCCTTAAGTATTTAAAATGTAGACAAGCAATGCATTCTCTGTGGGTTTACACCTACACCTGCAGCTGGTTGTGCTACAGGAGCGGATTCCAAATTTGGAAATGCCAGCTTTGGTGTAAATGGCAGTAAATGTGCCTGCCTATTGCTCTGAAATGTCTCTCTCTTCCAAGCTCTTTTTCTAATGTAGTCATCTTTGGAAAAAAAAAAAAAATCCAGAACAAAAAGAAGTTGGTTCCTTATTGGTGAGACATAAGAAAATGTGAGACCTAGGGAGAATCACCTCTCAGCAATGGATTATCTTTTCAGTAGCTGACTTTTAGATGTTTTGAGATGGCCAAGCTGAGGGAGAGAAATGAACATACAGGTTTAGAAATTAGAAGATTGGTGAAGAATGTTGTTAATTTAATTGTCATTTAATGGTTATCTGATATGTGAATTGTTTGCACCCTGAAGAGGGACTGATAATACTATATGCTGTGCAGACTTCAATCTAGTCAAGAACTGACAAGATGCTCACCTCAATTCCTGGCCCAGGAAAATAGCAGGAGCTTTCTACATGCAGAGCCAAACTAACACTTGCAAAAGCCAGCCAAATGCATAATGATCTCACCTCAAATTAAGCCCTCTTACTGATTACTTAATGATGAGCAAAGATCTGATGTTCTTGTGTTCCCCAAGAACTGTATGAATTGAAATCTGGAAGTATATTTAAAAGTAGTGTCTTTATTGCAGGCAGCAGATGAAACATATCAATTTTAATAAATTTGTGCAAACTGTAAAACAAAACAAAACAAAACAAAATCACCAGCACCATCACCATAACTAACACCGCCACCACCAATTAAAAGCCCAGCTGAGGCCTTGCTGGTGCTTGTACAAGTGATCACAGTATCTTTTTAGCAAAACGCTTTGAACACCTGAATGTGAAAGGTGTGACAGAGAAGCTGTTCGGTTCAGGAATGCTTGGCTTTGGGCGCTTTTGATGAAAAGGTGAAAGGAAAGAAAGTTTTCAAAGTTACTCCACTCTGCGGGACAGTCCATCCCTCTTCTAGTTAAGTGTTTTGACGAATGGCTGAAGACTACAAGGATCCCTCCGTTTGGAAAGCCGATGAACCCTGATGTGACCATTTCAGGTTTCTGTTGTACAAATAAACATTCATCTACAACATTTGTAAATCTGTTTCAGGAGAGGAAAACTGATGCCAAAGAAGTGGGGATAGCGGCAAAAGGCTGTGTGTATGGGCTGGGGATGTAGCTCAGTGGTAGAGCGCATGCTTCGCATGTATGAGGCCCCGGGTTCGATCCCCGGCATCTCCAACTATTATTTTTGAACAGCCAACACAAATCAAAGATTCTGTACATATTTTAAAAGTCGAATTGCTGTGTTTCATGTTATTAATTTCATTCATTTTTCTATAGTATTGTTTAAACTACTGCGTTCAGAACTGTTTATGTGGCGAGGGGAACGCTACTGGGTCGATGTATTTTGAGATGTGTTTCTCTGAAATAGTGGCATTGGGGTCCTAGAAAACCACTCCCAGGGTAGAGGTGGCAAGGAAATAGCCTGGAAAACTGTTCGGAACCTACTGATACGTCGCGGTGTGTATCTGGCTGGTCCTTAGGGCAGAAATAGACTTAGTTTGACAACACGGAAAAAGGAATGGACGACCGGAGATGGAGCTCAGTGGCAACAAGAGGAATGGAGTATTTTTGTCTTGTGAGTCATAGAACGAAAAAATTAGATCAGACGAAATGAAGCTTGGTGAAAGCAAATCCGACTTCTCAGAAGAAAGGAAGGGGAAGGAGGACCACAAACGGCATCAATTATTATCCATCAATTATTATAAGGCTTTCGAAAACATCAGCTACGAGGTGGCCGGTTAGCTCAGTTGGTTAGAGCGTGGTGCTAATAACGCCAAGGTCGCGGGTTCGATCCCCGTACGGGCCATTCAATTTTGCGGTTTTCTACTTGGCAATTAAACTGGGTAGTTTTTTCCGAGACAAAAACAAATTGTCCCCAAAGGCTATTGTCCCAGCTGCATGCTGAACCTTCATAGATATCACTTTGCCACTAGCTCATCAATCCTAGGCGGTCCGGCCTCGCAAGTCGCAACGTTCCAAAAACAGTGCCTTGTCGAAGCAGAAGAGCAGGGGATCTTCTTACGGGTAAGATCCAACTCATTAGAAGGAAAAAATGGCGTCATCGACTAGCTCAGTGGAGTGAGTCTTGGCCACTAGGGGCGAGGTCCCTGTGCGCAGGTGCTGCCATCTCCTCGATGCCGGCTGGAGCACCCACGCCTCACCGACATATTCCTATGTCAGACATATTCCTATGTTGATTTTTAATTTTAGGAAAGACAAAGCCCCGTTACAGAGGCGCGTTCCCCTCTGTGCACAGCTGTTGTCCAGGTCAGCCGAGGCCAGGGGCTTTGCTCGGGCCACCTCTGGAGGTGTCGCCTCGAGACTCAACTTCTTTCCCAGTCTAACCTACTTTCAGAACCTCATCCCGGACCCTCTGCGCACACTGCCGGTACAGCTCGTTTCTTCATTTACTCACGACCTCTGTTGCGTGTTCAGCTGTCCGTCCATTTTCAGTGGAAAATGCCGAAGTCGAGCCACGAAGCTCCACGATGGTTTGGGAATAGGGCGCAGGGTCACCACGAGTCTCGCTCTGGCACTTAAGCGCCGTCAGAAATGCAGCTTTCAGGCCTCGCCTTTAGAGGTTCCGTGGATTTGAGGGAGAACACAGATTTCTGGTTTTTAAACAAACACTGTTCTTTCTTTTAGAAGGACCGACTAACTGCCCTGGAGAGACAAGGATTTCTTGGAGAGAGTATTTGTGGGAATGTCCAGGGCAGTTCTGGGAGCCACACTAGCGTGATTTTAGAAAGAAAGGAAGGGAGGAAAGGAAAGGAGGAAGGAAGAGAAAGACTCAATTGCAGTTAAATACAGCGATGTAGGAGAGCTCATTACATATTTAGTATGCCTATGGAAATTGCGCTTCCGCTTGGCTCGTTGGTCTAGGGGTATGATTCTCGCTTAGGGTGCGAGAGGTCCCGGGTTCAAATCCCGGACGAGCCCGAGTTTTGATCCTTAAATTCAATTTCTGCTCTCCGGTGACAGAATTGAAAAATGTAAAATCTATCGTACAAACTGACTTGTGTCTGGTACAATCGCTCATCCTTGTGAGCCTGGACACTCTTCTTTGATTTGAAGTCTCTTCTAATTAAGTAGAAAAGATTTTGAGGTTTTTGATCCTGACTTCTTTTTAAATCCATTTTTAAAGTGTGTCTTGACAAGGCGAGTGCCGCTGGGTCTTCTGAAAGTCCCCGCTCCGCGGCTGTGGTCCTACAGATGGGTCTTCATGCATCGACATCCATTATTCGCTCACTACCTCAGAGAAGGGGTTCAAACGGGAAGAGCGGGTGCTGGGCGACGAGCCGGGGCTGCCAGAGCCGTCGTCCGGGCTGCTTGGCGCCGACCGCATGGCTGCCCTCCCGCCGGAGCCCGGGCTCTGCGGCCTCCCAGAGGACACAGCCTCCCCGCTTCTCCTGGGGCTAGGCCATGCGGGGTTCTGCCCTCAGTAGTCTGTTCAGTGCTGTGCTCAACGCTGTTTTTTGGGTTTGGATTTTTTAAAAAAACGCATTTTTGAGACGAGCGCTAATATAATAGAAAAATCGCGGGATCGTGAGATACTTTTTATTGACATATAATTCCTGTCTCTGCCTCGATGACAGAATGAACGGGAAGCAGGGAGAAAAGCGCAATCTTTCCTCCAGGACTGTGTGAAGGGAAGACAGGTTGGAAATGGTGCTGCCGTGGAGAGGTCGGCAGTGCAGTCCAGATGGGAGTCAGAAGGGGCTGAAGTGGGAGTGTGGTTAATTCCACGAGCAGGACACTGGCCTCGCTGGGCGGGAAGGCAGCGTTGCCATTCTCAAAACCCAGCTTCCAGGCTTCTGCCTCTCACTCTGTCCCCTAGCTCGGACTTTGCCTTCTCTAACATGGCTGCACCTTTCTCTCTGCATCAGAAACTTCCTTGGGGGCGTTTGTGCTTCTGAGTCACCTGAGGAATTAGTTCAATATTCAGACTCGAAGCCCTGGGTCTATCACGGATCCCAGGAATCGACCGCACAGGGAAGGTTTGAATCCCTGCTTTCACGCTTCTCAAAGGCGGGAGAAACGCACATCCGCCAGGGGGCGCTGAGGCCAGTCTGCAAGAGTTACTGAGCAGGCCGGAATAGCTCGGACCGGAACTGAGCCGCTCGCGGTGATTACTTGATTCTACGCCTAGTGATCCGTGATTTAAAAGATGCTCTTGCTTGACAGCAGTAGCGTAGCCTGTTCTGAAAATTCTTAGTAAGAATGTATAAAGATGAAGCATACTTAAAGCATTGGAAGAGGAACTAAGAGAAAAAAGAAAACTCACGCCCAACGTGGGGCTCGAACCCACGACCCTGAGATTAAGAGTCTCATGCTCTACCGACTGAGCTAGCCGGGCGTAACTACATTAGGATCCTTTCCCCAAGGTATCAATAGACTGCCTCATGTTCTTCGGAAAAGTAAGGTATGTATATGTATGATTTTAATTCTATCCGGTTGGCTGTTTATTTTAGTTTATAGGTAAAGTGAGATGAAATTAGAAGAGTGAAAATATTACAATTATTAGTGTGCATTGCACCTGTTTATTTACATGTATTTCCACAGTTTTCCCCAGCTTGTGTTGGCACCACAAGGTGTATCCAAAATCTAAGTGCGAGTTGGGTCTCTGGGCGCTGTGGCTGTTCAGGTGACTTCAAAACGGCATCCCCGAAGCTCCAGGCCGGGTTCCCAGCTCGGCACTGAGCATGGTCCCAAGCAGCTGGGGCCCATTCACCATCCAGGGCCCTCTGTGACCCACCCACCTTTCTGCTCACCTTCTGTCACAGTCAACTCCTCCTCCCTTTTGGCTCCAGTGTTGAGGGACCGTAGTGAAAACCACACAAAGTTAGGCTTTCGGTTAGAAAGGCTTTAGAGGAGGCAAAGTATCTTTCAAATCAACTGATGAACACATTTTTATCAAGCACCTTTTCTGTGCTGGATATTTAAAATGAAAACACCATGATCCCCGTACCAAAAAGAAAAAAGAAAAAGAGAAAACAGATACAGCATGTACATGCTACTCAGTCCCCAAGAAAGCCGTCATATGCCTACTGGGCAAATGGACCAATTTAACAAAAATGAAATGCTTGGCTTTATATTAACTCCCTGGCATTGGGAAACAAAGGTGCTTGGATTGACTGAAAAAAAAATAGATGATGGCGATGGCAAGAATAATTTAAAAATTACCTGTGTTTACTAAAATGGGGCCTAAAACACAGACATTCATATGAATAGTCTGCAGATCATCATGCAGGATTTCTGGAGTTGCCATGGTTATTAATTAGCCTGGTGTCCCACTGCAAAGCATGAGCTCTCTTTGCTCATTAGCAAACTCTGCTTAATATTGGTTTCCTGAGTACTGTAAGAACAATAAAGAGGTATCTGAATAGTATTGCTGATTTATGTCTTAATGTGAATAGATTTACTGGATTTCTGGTTTATTTGTGTTTGTGGGTGTGGTGTGTGTGTGTGTGTGTGTGTGTGTGTAAAGAGGATTAAATCCAGGGCATCGTGCATGCTAGGAGAAT